CTTCTCTCCAGTATGAATTCTCTGGTGGCTGACAAGGTGTGATCTTTGAAAAAAAGCTCTATCACATTCTAAACATTTGTAGGGCTTCTCTCCAGAATTCAGAGTCTGGTGTTTAGTAAGTGATGTTTTTTCATTAAACGTTCTGCACCATTCTTCACATTTGTAGGACTTCTTTCCAGTATGAATTTTCTGATGGTAAGTAAGATGTGACCTTCGATAAAAAGCTTTGTCACATTCTTCACATTTGTAAGGCTTCTCTCCAGTATGAATTCTCTGGTGGCTAATAAGGTGTGACCTTCGATAAAAAGCTCTGCCACATTCTTCACATCTGTAGGGCTTTTCTCCAGTATGACTTCTCTGGTGATCAACAAGGTGTGATTTTTGATAAAAATCTTTCTCACATTCTTTACATTTGTAGCGCATCTGTCCAGTATGAATTTTTTGGTGACGAGTAAGATTTTGGATTTTATTAAAGGTTTTGTTGCATTCTTTACATTTGTAGGACTTATTTTCACTATCACTCTTTTGATATTGAGAAGGGTTTGAAGAATTCTTTAAGGATTTGGATTTCTCAGATCCTTTACAACAGTAGTCTCGCTCTCCAGGATGAATTCTCTGGTGTTTAGTATCAAGTGAGCTTTGATAAACAACTTTGTCACATTCTTTACATTTGTAGAGTTTGTCACTGTTCTTCCAAGTCAGATGTTCAGAAAGGGTTGAGAAATGGCTAATGGCTTTGACACATTCTTTACATTTGCAGGCCTTCTCTTGAGTATGAATTGTCTGATGCATAACAGGGAGTGACATTTGATTAACAGTATTGTGAAACTCTTGAAATTTGCAGGGCTTATTGCTACAATAATATTGGTGTTGTTTAGAAAGGTATGAACAATCAAGTGCTGTCGTACATTGTTTGAACATATTGGGATCTCTCTCAATATGAATTCTCTGGTATTGGGTAAGGTTTGCAATTTCATTAAGAGCTCTTTCACATAAGTTACACTTGCAGGACTTGTCTTGCCTATAAATATTTGTCTGGATAATAAGTTTGGGGCATTGAAATAAGACTTTCCAACATTTTTCATCTTTGGAAAGGTTCTTTGAAAACTGGGTGTATTTATTTTTTCTCAGATTGCAATCAATGCTATAGTTTTTATGAGTGTCTCTATACTCATATTTTTCATGAACAATATGAACACAGTGATAACTATTTAGGGCAGAGACCTGGCTAAAAGCACCATCTGTTTCATTATTGATGAAGCATAATTTCCACAAACCTGTATCTGGATTTTTATTAAGCAATAATGGATAACTGTGGACCTTTTCACAGTTGTTAAAATAGCACACTGGGGTACAAGGAGAAATTATTTGTTCATTGCAGAATATTGGGCATTTTGTAAAACTTTTAAAAACTTGTCCTTCAGTTTTAAATCTCTTGTCTCTGAAAATGTTTGACTGGACATTTAACTCAACACTACCTTTGATAATGATCAAATTAAAAATTGAAGCATACACTAGATGTCTTTTTAAATCTTCCATATTTTCATTATGAAAAATTATATGCTTCAAAAATTGCTGTGGATTCATTCTTAAAGACATACATAGCTCCTGAAAAATAACTGGCATAAGTTGAATTATTTCCTGAGATATTAAATGTTCTTGATGTCTGTTGACAGTGAAATTTTCATCATGAATATTTATGGCTAGTAGGTTTTTTCCCTTATATTGTAATTTCTGACTTTCATTCTCACATACAGTTTCCCATATTTTCCTTAGTTGTATATAGTCAAGGTCATGATTTTCATTCTTTTCCTTTACCACATGTTGAAATATATGTTTTATGCCCTCCTCTGGTGAAAATTCTTGAGTATGATGAGAAGTCATGGCTGAAAGATATAAAAATAACAATTATTTTTTTAAAGAGAGAGAGAAAATTTTTTAATATTTATTTTTTAGTTTTCGGCAGACACTACATGTTTATTTATATGTGATGCTGAGGATCAAACCCAGGGCTGTGCGCATGCCAGGCGAGCATGCTACCACTTGAGCCACATCCCCAGCCCCCAAAATAACATTTATTTTACCTACTTGACTGGAATGAATGTTTTGCAAACATCACACATAAAATTATAGAACTATCATTACATCAACAAAGTAACAGAGGAGTAAACCCAAAGCCATAATTACACCCAGAACATATAAACTAAATAAAAATGTATAGACACAATCACTTTCTGAGAACTGTTCAAACCATCTTAGAAATCAGAGAATCCAAGATTAGTAAAATACTAAGGAGAGGAATAATAGTATCAGGAAGGAAAATGTGTTACTTTTATTAATTATACCCCTTCCATGTCCATAATATGGCATTCAGAAATTATGAAAATAACCTACTAATTCCTTTTTCAGTCAATGGAATAAGGGAAATATGAAAAAGATGCAAACACCTGTGACTTACATGGAGGCAGTCTGAACACTGGTTTCTATCTACCATTACATTGAGACCTAGAGACAACTTGAAAATAATATTGAGAGGCAATAAATACCTGGCAGAGCCTATTTCTATATTACCTGGATGAAGCCAACACATGAAAATCAAGGAAAATAACTTTTTAAAAAAATGTGTTATCTGATTTGTTTCATTAAAAATTAAACTATGTATTTATCAAGCGTATCATGCTATTTTAAAGTGTGTGTGTATGTGTGTGTGTGTATAAATCTAGTGAATGAACATATGCATATTTTCATACAATTATCACTTTTGTGCTTAGACTATATTGCATGCATTCTATTACCATTAATCAAGAACACAATATACTGTACTTACCATGTAGTACAATAGAAGTCTTGACTTTCTATGTCCATTAAAATAAAAACTTGCTGACTTTGACCAAAAATATGCCAACTCTCCACAAAATACACTACCCGATGACCACAATTTCACTCTCACATTTCTGTCTTCCACACATGAATAAGATGCTCCTGTAACTGACTTTCTGTGTCTGCATTATTTCACTTAATGCAAAGTCCTGCATGTACATTCAATGCCAATTTAAATGACAAGATATTTCTTTTTTATGGTTAAGTATTAATTGGGTATAAAGACCATATTTTCATTCATTCAAACATTGTTGGGCATATAGACTGAGACAAAATCTTCACTATTGGGAAAAATGTTTGCACTGAACACAATAGTAGAGCTATTTCTTCAAAATGAGGATTTAACCTCCTGTGGATGCACATTAGGTATTTGTATTTCTGGATCACAGGGTTATGCTCCTTTTAAATTTTGATGTGTGGGGCTTGGAACTAAGCCCAAGGGTTCTGTACCAAAAAACTACAAGACGAGTTCTTTTAAAGTTGTTAATTTTGATACATGCTGTTGCTAAGTTGTGACTTTCTTCAAACATGAAAAATCTTCTTGCATATGTTCCCAGTTAGCTGGCATTACAAGCATGGAGCTCTGTGCTTGTCTATTTTTATTTATTTTAATATTTCCACACTGTTTCCAAAATGACTGTATAATCTATTGTTGGCTAGTTTTTAAATGGACAAATCAATTAAAAATAGTGCAGCAAACAAAGACAAACAAAAACATGGCTTAATTGAAGTAACAAGACATTAGGAATTGAACATTAGGAAAGTGAGTGATATAAATTACTAAATGAACCCTAAATAACCATTAGAAAGAGGTTTAGTGAGCCAAATTCAGACAAAAAAAATTGTTAACAGAAAGCATATAAATAAGTAAATTAAAAAAAAGTGCAAAGGAGTCAAGCACCATGTGCATACCTATAATTCCAGCAGCTTGGGAGGCTGAGGTAGGAGAATTGTGAGTTCAAAGCCAGTCTCAGCAAAAGTAACTAAGCTAAGCAACTCAGTGAGTACTTGTCTCTGAACAAAATATAAAATGGGGCTGGGGATGTGGCTCAGTGGTCAAGTGCCCCTGAGTCCAATCCCTAGTACTTGGAAAAAAAAAAAGAAAAAAAGCGCTGAGGATGAAACATACTGGTAAAGCACCCCTAGGTTCCACCCCCAGAACAAATAAAAAGATGTGACAAATTATAAGAAAATAGAAATAAAAATCCAAGAAGCTCAGTTATGCACAGGAGTGAAAACCAGACATGCTCAAAGCACATTTTCATCAAAGTTTTAAAATTCACAGAAAGAGAATCTTGAGAACAGCAAGAGAAAAAGATGCGTCACCTAGAAAGGTATACTCAATAGTGAATTCCTTAGTAGAAATATTAAAATACGGTAGTTGTAAATATTATCAAAGGGGCAAAAGAATAAAATTAGCAACCAAGAATAGTATATCAAGAAATACTGCCTTTCAAAGGTGAAGAAAAACAAAGAATTTAAAGATATACAAATGCCCCAAATTCATTACCACTAGGCTTGTCCCCCCCCCAAAAAAATACTAAAGGGAATCCTTCATACTGAAAAATAAACCTGCACAATAAATTAACATATAAAATTTTAATGTTTTCTTCAAAAAGTCCCATAAAATAATTTCATAGTACTTTAATAATGGTACATAAAATCATTAATTTGCAATAGAATTTGAAAGAAAATAAGCATAAAAATCAACATCAAACTGTTAATGTGAAATAACAGGTATAAATCCAAGTAATTTTGAAAAGATAAAAAAAGACTGAATTTTAAAAGGAAGTGAAGTTAATTTTTACCACATTAAAATAGTGTAAACCAGTGATCTTTGAAAAATATCATGTAAATGAAAAAAATTAATATTCATAGAAGGCAAATGGAAGAGGAATCCAAGTATGTCACTATAAAATCAATGAACCATAAATTAAACCAATAAGTAGGAAAAACAATTACATAAGAAGTTAAAAAAAACCTTTCACAGTAGGAGTACTAAATTCATTACTTTTAGAAATTTATTTCATTAAAACTGCATTATTTGATTATCTGATACCAACAACCAAAGCAAAAAGCTTGACTAATAGAATTAAATCTAACAAAATACAACTATGTAATCTATAAGGGACTCTAAACCTAAGGCCACAAGTAGACTAAAAGCAAAGGATATAAGAGTGTTATAAAAAGAGACCAAAAAATAAATAAATAAAAGTGGGCTGGCAAAATAATAATATAGAAAACACAGTTTAAAACAAAAAGTTATGAGTTTTTTTTCTTTGAAAAGAGGTAATGTAGAATATTATACAAAGATAAAAGGAACTTTCCTGTGGATACTGCAATAACAGCAGATACACTTATAACTAAAATCATACTTCTCAAATATAAAAAGTTAAGATTCAGAGAATTATATAAAGAAATAGAAAGCAACACTGTAATATGAGGAGACACCAATTCCTACTTACTGTAAAGTAAAAGAAAATTAATGTTTTGTATTGCAGAAACAGATAAAACTATTTTAGAAATTTTATAGAATCTCTAAATTGTATCAATACTCCCGAAATATTCAAAACACAAAAATAAAATTGAAAGAAACCTGTTTCGTGACTTAAAACACATTAAAAGGTATAGAATTTAACTTTCAATGCTGATAACAATACAGATAAGTGTATACAATTTTCCTGACAATAATAAGCCCACACATATATTGCAAATTAAATATTTTGCCCACCAATGTTTGTTACAATATTATAAATCAGATCCATGATAATGAGGCAAACAAAACATCCTTGAAATGAGTGGATAACACAATTTGGAATATACAAACTAGAATATTTTTCAAGTCAAAATTAATAAATTTTGCAAAATCTACAATAAGGATAAATCTAAAGTACATTAAATAAGTAACAAAA